TCAAAATACTAGAAACTTAAAGGAAAGCACTGCATTTCCGAAGCAACAAGAGAGATACAGAGAGGATGAAACTGAAAAATTATGTGAGACAAACTCTGAAGTATTAAGAATAGAGAAGCTAATATAGGCTAAAGTAGATAAAGAGAATTTGATCTGGGCTTTGAAGTGATGGGTAAGAGGGTATGGCATTTAATCTTAGATTTAAAGATATCTGGAATAAAAAAACCATCTAAAGAAGATGGATATGTTTTCTGAAATAGTGAATTTTTAATGCAAATCAGATAGAAATGCTTTGTTTTGCTTGCTAAAATAAATGACAGAGTCAACTAGTACAACTTATGATTACCAGTATTTAAAAAATTAATTGTTTTCAACTTTTTTGACAAAGAAAAATAAAAACATAGCTTAAAATCTTAGATTATAGACTGAGCGAGGTGCTTCATATAGATCTGTGTACAGTGAATTCACCATAAGGTCTTAAGAACTAACTACAAAAAAATTTATTTTTGCCCATGCCTCTAAAGAAGAGACATGCTTTCAAAATGTCTTTAATTTGTGGTTTCTGACTCTGGTGTACTATTTGAAGTCCTGATTTTATATTGCAGATTATTTTGAAATTACAGAACTAATAAAGAACAGCTGTGTTAATAGCCTTACATGTCCAACAAAATATGAAAGTAAAGGACTTTTAAATCGACACAACCATCCAATGTTACTTTTGTGGGAATTTGCTAACACTTTTTTTAAGTTTCCACTTTTTATTTGAAGGATGGTATAAAGATGGGTTGGATGTAGAGTTAGAGCATGGAAATATTTTATGCTTCTCAATTCATTAGGCCTGATTTGAGGCCCTTTGATAAGTCCAGGGCAATTGGGCATATGGCACATTACATCTGTGTTAAGGTGGACAGGCAGGAACAGAGGTAGTGAGAATAAAAGGACATTTCCTGACTTGGCTCTGAACTATCTGAATACAGGCAGGATGGCCCAGACTCATTTTCTCATACATTCCAGAATTTTTCTACAAAATAAGCGGAATATTTCAAGTAAAATATTTTTCTTGGATTGAGTTTTAAGTACTTGATTATTTTCATTGTTTCAAATAACAGATGTTCACACCTGTTAAAGGACCCAAAACTAGTGAATATAATTAGAAAAATAGAATCTGAAAAATGATTGCCTGCTCTTAAGAATAAATGACATTTTAAGCTTATTCTACACTGAATAGCCAAGAAAAAAATTTAAAGAATTCTCTTTTGGAATTTTGAATATAAGCATTTGAATGATATTTTGAAAGAAGGTGTTTGTTATTAGTGATTTAAAACTATTCCCTTTATCTTTTGCCATGTAAAATAGGTTAGGGGGTTGTGTTTACCTCTCCATTTTTATTTTACTTTATTCAGGATCAAAATGTGACTCTGAATATAACACTTGGAAATGGATAATGGGTCATTATCCATTTGACATTGTTGAAACTTCCAAGTGATAAAAAATTCTTTCCTTTCTATGTGAATCTTAGTCAAAGCTGCCCGACATTTATGGAAATGTGAGAATATAAAATCATGGTTTGGGTTTATGTTTTACTGATAATCTATTGTCTAAAAATAAAATATGCTTCATTTTTTTTCTGTATTGACTCAAAGAAGTAATATTCTATAGCTGATCTTTATGTGTTTGTTTGCATAAGAGAAGCTTTAAAAGGTTAAATACTCAAATTTACTTTCAAGTATTATATAATTTGCATAGATAAAACTTTCCTATTTATACTTATATACTTGATACTTGTTAAATGGACTCATTATATGTACTTCAAAGCCAGAGTTTTGGCCATTTGATTTTAAGTTTAAGAGAAATAAATCAGATGTGACAAATAGTCTAAAATAATTTCAAACTTCTTGTAATTTTTCTAAGTCTTTTTTGGGTAAAGGTTTAATAATAATAATTATGCTATTTTAAAATAATAATTTAAGAATAATTTTACTATTAAAATTATTAATTATTAGAATTCAGCTTAAATAAAAAATTATAATTTTACTATTATAATTAGAGCTAAGCTCAAATTGCTGAATTTAGGTTTTATATATATGTATATACACAACTGTATGTACTTATTGAAATAATGCACAATTTTTATTAGTCTGTTTCCATTCTTTTAAGAAATAGGAAGAGGTGAGATAAAACAAATTAAAGCATCAAGCAGACATTATGACCTTCTTAGATTTTAAAAAAAGATACACAAATACATGCAAAATTTCTTTGTAGCTAAACCAGTACTATTCAGTCCTTGAATAACATTTGTGCCCATAATACATTATTTTTATATGCCCATGAAAATGAAAGAGGAGAGTGAAAAAGTTGACTTAAAACTCAACATTCAAAAAACTAAGATCATGGCTTCTGGTCCCATCACTCCATGGCAAATAGATGGGGAAACAGTGGAAACAGTGAGATACTTTATTTCTGGGGGCTCCAAAATCACTGCAGATGCTGACTGGAGCCATGAAATTAAAAGATGCTTGCTCCGCTTGCTCCTTGGAAGAAAAGCTATGACCAACCTAGGCAGCATATTAAAAAGCAGAGACATTACTTTGCCAACAAAGATCTGTCTAGTGAAAGTTAGTCATGTGTGCATGTGAAAGTTGAACCATAAAGAAAGCTGAGTGCGAGAGAATTGATGCTTTTGAACTGTGGTGTTGGAGAAGACTCTTGAGAGTCTCTTGGACTGCAAGGAGATCCATCTAGTCCATCCTAAAGGAGATCAGTCCTGAATATTCATTGGAAGGACTGATGCTGAAGCTGAAACTCCAGTACTTTGGCCACCTGATGTGAAGAACTGTCTCACTGGAAAAGACCCTGATGCTGGGAAAGATTGAAGGCTAGAGGAGAAGGGGATGAGAAAGGATGAGATGGTTGGATGGCATCCCTGACTCGATGGACATGAGTTTGAGTAGGCTCTGGGAGTTGGTGATGGACAGGGAAGCCTGTTGTGCTGTAGTCCTTGGGTTCACAGAGTCAGACATGACAGAGTAACTGAACTGAACTAATACAAGAATATAAAAATCCTTTGTCTTCCTTTACAGTTTAAGCAAGTATATGTAAATATTTTTCAACATCTAGGAATTCTTAGTATTTAAATCTTTTCACCGAATTTCTATGATATTAAGTAAAAAACATCTACCTATGGTTTTGATCTGAAAATTTAAAAGTAAATTGGTCAACATAATTCATCCAGAAAAATATACTCTGTGGGGTTAAACAACTGAATAGTCCTAAATTATAGGAATTAACAGAAACATTTTATAAAGTACCACTCGGATTGCAAACACTGGAGTTTTACTTTAGAACTTTTAGTTTTATTTGTACATTGACTAATAATGATTTGTCTCAGAATTATCAGTCATTATTAAATATTTCTTAATCTATATATAACATATTTATAGGAGTGCTCCTTTACAAACAAGATACTTTAGAAATATTCCTATCAGTGAATGCCATAATAGAAACTACTTATCCAGGAGGCTAAATAACAACACACACACACAAAAAAAGTTCTGTACTCTCAATATTGCCACCTACTCAATGGCTTTAGAATGTCTGTTTAGAATTATGTGTAGATTCTGAAGCTAATTCTTCCTCTTACTTGTTTGTTTAGCATACTCACTATGTCAGCAAATAGTTTAACAGGATAGCATAGTAGGATCTTGATTTTATTCCTTTTATATTTTACATAACCACTTTGACCTCAGTTAAAATGGATATAATAATAGTTCCATTTTGGTGATGATTAAATGAGTTTATATTTGTGCTATGCTTGAGTTATACCTCAACTATAAGATATGGTAACTATATAATTTCAATTGTTATTTAAAATCTTATTTTAGTTATAATAATTTTAATAGTAAGGATAATTATGTGCTGTGTGCTTAGTCACTCAGTCTATCCGACTCACTGCAACCCCATGGATTGTAGCCCACCAGCCTCTTCTGTCCATGGATATTCTCCAAGCAAGAATACTTGAGTGCGTTGCCATGCCTTCCTCTGGGGATCTTCCCAACCCAGGGATTGAACCTAGGTCTCCCGCATTACAGGCAGATTCTTTACCATCTGAGCCCCCAGGGAAGCCCAAGGATACTTATAGTCATTATTATTAAATCATTGTGTTTTAGTATCTTTATCTACCAAAACGAGGAAAGCCTGTGTCTCTTTTAGAATTCCTTAACTATAATAAAGATGTATTAAGCTATTTTATTTTGTAGTGCCTTCTAATAGAAAATTTAAGATATTTTTATGTCTTACCTCTACACAAAAGTACTCAAGTTTGACATATGACATTATCATTTATAATTTATAGTAATAAATTATTGATTTTTGACAGAGAAGTAATTACTCTTCCCAGGTTTATAAATTTTAAAAGCTATATTTCTCCTAGATGTTATAAAAATTTTGCTCTTTCTTCACAGATAGCTTTTACTATCAGTATTAACAGAAACTGGAGTTTAGAATCTTCATGTATGGGACTTCTCTGGTGGTCCAGTGGCTAAGACTGTGCTTCCACGGCAGGAGGCGTGGTTTCTGTTCCAGTTCAGGAACTAAGATCCCGTAGACATGCTATGCACTGTGGCCCCCAAAAAAGAAAGAGTTTTCATGTGAAATTTATTTTATTATTCTGTGTATAGTGAGTTAAAATATGTACTAGATAGTAGAAACAGATGGTAGCATGTTTTTATGGTATTTATGTTGTTTTCATTCCTGCTAAAATGTGAGAGAGTGACTTACCACTTAATTTTTTTTCTTAGGTTTTATGTTGATTTAATGATAAACTTTATAAGAAAGTAGGAAGTTGCCCAGTAGTTTTGTTCACTGTATTTATATCTGGTAAATGCACTATATTTAAATCTTACACCTTTTTTTCCTCTCAGCAAAAAATATATATATTTAAAACTGGGCCATTCAATCTTGATTTTTCTCCCAAAACTAATCATGTTTTCTTTTGATCCTAGTTCAGGCTTGGTTCCTTCAACCTAGAGAAAATTGCAAGCCCAGCTGAGGTCATTAGAGAACTTATTTGTCACTGCCTGGACACCATTGCAGAAAGCCAAGCCAAAAATGAGCACCTGCAGAAAGAAAATGAAAGGCTTCTGAGAGATTGGAATGATGTTCAAGAACGGTGTGTACATAATGTGCTTGTATCTTAAGAACACTAAGCTCTTTATATTATTGTAGCTCTAAGTTAATGATTTATACACTTATGCCATATGTAGACTATCATATATTTAAAATGAAATATGCCATTGATTATACCTCTACTTAATGTGATTAAATTAAATTATTTGTTGTTATTGTACAATATAGGAGAACAATAATAATAATAGTATTTGGTGGCACCAGCAAACTAATAACAGTAAGAAGTAATTGGACGGTGGGGATCAGAACCCATTAATAGTAAGCAAAGTTTAGGAAGTTTGATATTTATAAGGATTAATTGACTTCAACTTATAGGATTAATAATGAATAAAAAAAGATGAAATATAAATAAGCATAGTTGATACCTTATTTGAAATCTTTTTATGAATGACATCTGTTTCGGGTGAAGTATGTTTTGGCTCCTGAGAGAAACTTATTTATTGCTGATTGATTGAAAGTTCATATTGTCAGCATTTTAAAAAGAAATAGTTGTTACTGCTTGATAAGATATTTGGAAGCCTTTATTTTCCTGATTTTGCCTCTTATAAACAATGAAGAAGAAAGTGACCTATCTTCTCAATTATGCAGTTTTCTCAATTATATCATGATCTAGGCTGGTCCAGGGTATAGCTGTATTACTCTATTATGTAAAAGATATTTGAAAGAAATGTATATTGTGAATATTTATATCTCTACCAAGACATATTAATATAATATGCATATATTTGTTAATATATACATTGTAACATATGACAGAATTGTGCAGAATATAAAAAATAGTAATAATGCTCATTATTACATCCAGTATATAAAGATTTTTAATCTTTTATTCGATCCAGTAGCTCTAAAACATAAGAACATTTATCAATTTAGGGTCTTTTTAGGGTGCTCACTAAGATTGTTCTATATGTGCATCAGTAAGTATATGGGAAAGTGTTATGAAAAATATGAAGGGTTTTTATCAGTATACCTATGTGTAAATGAGGTTTACTAGAAGAAATAATTTCTGTACATTCACTTACATTTATTAATTAATGTAAGGCATGAACCTAACACCTATCACCTAAAATTTGGTTATATTTGACTCTCATTTTTATGTTAATAAAGTATCTTGTTTTCTTTTAGTTCTGAATTAATTTTTATCTCCAATTATATAGTTAGACGAAACCAAATTATGTAAATGTTAAGAAACCATACAGAAAAATGTGTTATTGTTTCTTTTCAACTTTCTCTTAGAAATTCATGTTGCTATGAATTAATACAAAATGTTTGTTCTAGAAAGCATGTTTTGGGACTTATACCAGTATTCTGGGTGTATTTTTCTACTTTATATTCAAAATAAATCAAATGAAAGGAGATGTACTCTGGTCATGATAAGCCATTATTTTAAAAACTCAAAATACCCTCAGGATGATAGGAAATTTGATCCACAAATTGCCCACAAAAATGCAGACTGGGTACTTGGTACTTGAGCAAATTGCTTTAAAATGTCTGCCAGAGGTTGAAAGAGGTATTATCTCATCAGTATTCAGCACCACTGCCATAGGATGGGAATCAGCAGGGAACAAAGATGAGACAGTGGAGACAAATACGCCCTGTGCTAAGACAGTGTGTGAGGGTACATATAATATGTGTCGTACAGATGCTCAACTTGCTATTTCTGAATTATCCAGAAAATTCTCTTGTGTTATTGTGACAAAAAGGTACCTATTTGATCAAATGCACAGCCATGTAGCTTATCACCAGTCTTACGCTCCAGCTATTCTTTCTTTTTTCCTGAATACCGGGTCACATATCTTTTTCAGGAATTGAAGATGTGTGTTCTTGGAGTGGCCCTCCAAACAGAGGAAACAAAATCTACTCCAGAGAATTCTAGGCTCTGGATGTATTCCAGATGTTAGATTAGTAGCTTTACCTATTTCCCAAATTTGTTTTTCTTTCCTATCACACAGAAAATGGCCATTTTAAAGAGCTGTAAATACACCTTGGTCACAGCCAAACTGTATTTCCTGAACTGTTCCCCATCCAGAGCCTTAGTTCACTGGTAAATGAGCAAAGGATTTACAAGTACTGCTTCCATAAGGCAGTACTACTGGTCAAGAGTCTTCAAAGAGATTAGAAATAGGACACAGACATTCTGAGTTAGGTATCTATCCACATAGAAAATAGAGTTGAGTCCCTTTCTTTAGGCCTAGTCACAGTTCAGTTTCCTGGGCTGCTCCTGATTAGTCTTATATCAGTGTCCATTCATGATTCAATCATTTTTTTTATCGGATTTTTTTCCGAGACTACATGTGCCTGGAGAGTGAGGAGGGGCACAAAATAGTTGCTGAGAATTCACTTAGAAGCGATGGTAGATAGGTCTGAAATATATTTAATAGAGAATAGGATATTATATGAGCAAAAAGCATATCATGGAAAATGTTTATGTTGTGTTAAGAAGAGAAGTGTGAATTACCAAAAATATGGATGGTATCTCATTTTTTGTAAAATACATCTTTAGATAAAGAATATCTAGAAGGAGAAAAGTAAGTGATAACTAGTGTGTATCTGTGTGGATCACAATAAACTGTGGAAAATTCTGAAAGAGATGGGAATACCAGACCACCTGACCTGCCTTTTGAGAAACCTGTATGCAGGTTAGGAAGCAACAGTTAGAACTAGACATGGAACAACAGACTGGTTCCAAAAAGGAAAAGTAGTATGTCAAGGCTATATATTGTCACCCTGTTTATGTAACTTGTATGCAGAGTACATCATGAGATAATTGCAGCCACGAAATTAAAAGATGCTTACTCCTTGGAAGGAAAGTTATGACCAACCTAGACAGCATATTAAAAAGCAGAGACATTACTTTGTCAACAACGGTCCATCTAGCCAAGGCTATGGTTTTTCCAGTGGTCATGTATGGATGTGAGAGTTGGACTATAAAGAAAGCTGAGAAAAATTGAACTGTGGTATAGGAGAAGACTCTTGAGAGTCCCTTCGATTGCAAGGAGATCCAGCCAGTCCATCCTAAAGGAGGTCAGGCCTGGGTGTTCATTGGAAAGACTGATGTTGAAGCTGAAACTCCAATACTTTGGCCACCTGAGGCAAAGAGCTGACTCATTTGAAAAGACCCTGATGCTGGGAAAGATTGAGGGCAGGAGGAGAAGGGGATGACAGAGGATGAGATGGTTGGATGGCATCACCGACTCAACGAACATGGGTTTGGATGGACTCTGGGAGTTTGTGATGGACAGGGAGGTCTGGTGTGCTGCGGTTCATGGGGTCATAGAGTCGGACACAACTGAGCGACTGAACTGACTAAACTGAAGTGTGTGTCTGGAACTGTGGATTAAATTTTCTTACTTCTTGAGAGTATTTTTTGCACATATTTTTGTATATAAACATGTATCATTATAATCAGAGCCAAATCTAAAGCTATTTCCATTTGGGATAATGGGGGAGAATGAATATGATTTGAGTAAGGAATGAGGAATTGCAATAAGAGTGAAAAGGATGAGCTTTAACATGTATACTTTTTTTTCTTGCTTTTATTTATTTATTTTTCCATTTATTTTTATTAGTTGGAGGCTAATTACTTTACATTATTGTAGTGGTTTTTGCCGTACATTGACATGAATCAGCCATGGATTTACATGTGTTCCCCATCCCTCTGGGTCTTCCCAGTGCACCAGCCCTGAGCACTTGTCTCATGCATCCATACTGGGCTGGTGATCTATATTTGCTGTTATTTTTTATTTGCTATTTAATAATTGCAATCTTAGCTCCATTTTAAACAAGTGACATTACGGGATTCACTTAATTTTGTATAGTTTAGATGAAGGAGAAAACATTAGAAATATTGTATGTAAATCCTTAGGTCATCAGCTATATTTCACTGGTTTTTCCATCTTAGTTTCAGATAACAGTTCTCAAGTTCTGTGTTAGTGAATAGGTCTTTTGTTTGTACTCAAACATCAAGTTAGAAACTCTAGCTTTACTCTGAGTTATAGTTATTAAACCTATAATTGGAGGCAGTTTTCAGCAGATTGAATTTGGTTGACACTCGTGGAATCATTAGAATAGAAGAGACCTTGAAAGCTGTTCTCTGCCTTCAAGCTAGGATCACATTATAGCCAGATGAATTCAGTCTGATTTTTAAAGACTCGAGATATATCTTCAACTCCTGTTGGTCGCCCATTACATTGTTTAAGAACAGTCACAGGGAGAAAATTCTTCCTTCCATCTATTGGTAATTTGAGTCCTTCATGGTATATTTGAAGGCCATTTCCTCTTGTTCTGTCATCAGAAAGGATGAGGAACAGCTGTTTACCATCTTCTTCAGTACTTAAAGGCTTATTAAATCTCTTTACCACTGCTTTCTTTTCCATTTCTTTTTAGCATTCTTTGTCCTATGAACTCTATGCAGATATTCTTTTGCTGAACAACCCTGACCTGGGTATAAACTTGGTCAGAGCTGAAAATACAAGGATTACTGCACTGTTTCTAAGTACCCCTTGTTAACATTTGTGTATCTGTTGTTTTATTTTGGGTTATCATTTAATCTGTATTATTTGAGATGTTATTTTCTATGAAATTACCTTGTTTCTGCTCTCATTTTTGTTGTGTTCTTGACATTTGTTCTTAAATTCCTTGTTTTCCCATCCAGAAATATTTTATTTTGAAAATCAATGTTTTTGTATTTAGTTTTTACCCTTTTAGTTTTTTTTTTTTAATTGGAGGATAATTACTTCACAGTGTTGTGTTGGTTTGTGCTGACAACAATCAGCTATATATATACATTGTATATACATATATCCCCTCCCTGGTTAGCTTCTCTCCCACCCCACCCTCCAGTCCAACTCCTCTGGATATCACAGAGCACAGAACTGAGTTACTTTCCTTTGAGAAGTCCTCAACTGCTTTTAAATGAATACATTGCATGAGATAATTTATGTTTTAGTCTTTAAAATAGACGTTTATTAATTGTCTGTGTCTAGGCACGTATCAAGTATATTCAATTTCTGCTAGTCTGCCTTCTTTATATATATATATGAGGGATTAAAGTTAGTACTGTCTCTTGTTAGCTCATTTGAATATTGTAGAAAAATTATAAATGATAAAGAATTTTATCTTTTGTCCTATATACCTAAATTTAAAGTATATAGTGTTTTACATATATCCTTGGAAATTTCAACTTGGATGCTTTCATTTATTTCATAAGTACATACATTTAAGTGTGTGTATGTTTGCTGGATTATAAGATACAACTTGGTATATGATGTTCTTGCTATGGAGCAGTTCATAATCTATTTTGGGAGAACAGATTAGGTAAATCACTTAATCCCAAAACAAGATCATGGTTGCTATTATAGTAATATTAACAAAGTACCAGAAACAGGCTACAGTTACCCTTGTTTCAAATTTCTCTCACAAATATGTTCTTTTGGAAATAAGCCAAAGATATGAATAAGTTATTACATTTAGGCATTTAGATGTTTTATAAGCTTTTTTTGCTCTGAATTTCCAAGTTTGATCCTTTTCTCATTGTGCAAACTACAAATGCTAATAAGCAGTAAGTTCTAATGATTTGCTTACCAATATAAAACTTTAAATCAGTGAAAACTTTTTAAAGTGATTTTTTAAGTTGGAATTGTTTATTTTTAATTAATTTTTATTTAAAATGATTTTAAATGTATTTTTCTTGAAAAAAAATTGAAATCATCTTCAGTATTAGATTGAGTAATGCTAAGAAACCCCACATGATATATTAATTGGTTTGTTTATTTACATTTTAGCTTTGAAAAATGTGTGAGTGCTAAGGAAGCTGTAGAGACTGATCTTTATAAACGGTTCATTCTGGTGCTGAATGAGAAGAAAGCAAAGATCAGAAGCTTACATAAATTGTTAAATGAAGTTCAAGAACTGGAAAAGAACATCGAACATAAGATGTATGTTTGACCTTTTTGTTTTGGGATGGCAGAAGCATACATTTTAGTGGAATTTCTTCCCAAACTTAATGAAAGTTAGATGCAAACTTTTTAGTACATATCATAGCCTGGGGTTGGATGCTCTGGTTGTTAGTTGGAGAATACACAACATAATCTCTCCATTATCTGCCCAACAGTCACACCTACACTTAAATCATAAAACTGCCATCAGACTATTAAATAATAGTAGTTTAATTCTTTGGCATCACTAAGGAATATATTAATTAAAAACTTTCATCTTCTGCAGAACCACAAAGGTTGGGCACACATTTGTAATCCGGATATCTAAGTAGCTGTTAATTTTAGGATCAAATGGCTCTGAGTATGAATATGTACTTGATGTTTAAGGAAAAATCATAGGTGACTTATGGCTGATATGGCTTGGACAATCATAATTACTTTAGGCATTAAATGATATAAGTTTGGGTCGTTATCCTGAATCTGAGAGAAAGCACAAATTTACTAATGGCATAATATAAAGAATATAACATTTAGTATCAGATGATCCTAGTTCAAGTGTTGATCTGGTACTGATATCTAGTGATACTTGACTTTGTCCTTTAAACACTCTGTGCCTTACTTGACTATCTTCATAATAAGAGTAAAGGTAGCCATCTCAGAATTTGGGGGAGACCAAATGAGTTCTGCCCAAAGGCAGAACTGCTTTGAGATCAGTAAAGTACTGACCACTCTGTGACACACAGAAGATAATTTAGAAAAGTAGTATTGTGATTTGACAGATGAATAATAAATGATAATAAACTGATTCAATAATTAATTACAGTGAGCACTAAACAACATTTACATTAGGTAAAAGAGAAACTTGTTCTTGAGAGTTAACAAATGGTCTTTAAAGTGCTTTCTTAATTACATAATTTCAATATATATTTGTTTAATTATAATGTTTTTCCAAGGATATTTTCTATCCTTTTTGGTGAATTTGATACCTGGCCAAGAATGAACCAATAATTTATAATTCCACCTCTCTCTCTTTCTAGGGAAACTCCAACATGTTCTGAAATGACTACTCACAGAGATGCAATCTATGATGAAAGTACTGATGAGGACAGTGAAATCCCATCTAGTCCTTCTGTGTTAACTCCAGGTAAAGTAAATACATATATTTCTTTTGATGAATACCTCACTTAGGCTTATTTCTTATTATGGTAACAAACCGTAAAGAAAAATGTTTTGAAAATAATTTTTTCTACAAACATTTTTCAGGGTTTTTACTCTAAAACCACAGCTACTTAATGTTAGAAATTAATATTCATTATAAAATGCAGCAACTTATTGGCAACAACAAAACAAACAAGCATGCACACACATATACATATACACATGTATGCCAAGGTATAATGTTTCTTATTAAGGCTAGTTGGATAAGTGGTAAGCAAGATATGACTGCATGATAAATATCTCCAGCTGAAAGCTGGCTGCCTTTAACATTTGAGGTCTTCTCAGGCTAGAGCTATGTGAAGGAGCAGGGTGATCTAGAATGCTTTAGATTATCCTGAGATTAAGTCCTTCTGTCACTATTCAGAGGAGATCAGGCAATTTCAGGGTGGTATGACTGTCAACTTCTCTTACTATTCAGAAACGTGCTATAATAGAGGGAGGTGGGTTAAGAAAAACGATGAGAAATGGTAGTTTAAAGTACTTGAGCCTTACTTAATCCTACAGACCAGCAGCTGATTATTTTTCTAGAGTTTTACAGATTTCCTCGAGGCAGGATTCCCTGAACTCATACATGCAAGGTTCTGATATAAATGTTTGGATTCATTTATTTAGTAAATATATTTTTGAGTGTTTATTATATACTGAGAACTTTTCTATGCAGTAAGGGTGCAAAACACAGAAAGTTCCTCTTTCATGGAGTTTAAATTCTAGACAGGGAAACAGATAATAACAAGGTAAATAAATTTAAGTTTGTTGGATAGTGATAAATGCTGAAGAGAAAAATAAACCAGAAAGGATAGTAAAAGATGTCAGGGTGGAAATAGGAATGAGGGTTGTGATTTTAGCTAAGGCACCAGAAAAGACCTTGGTAAAAAGGTAATAAATAAGTCTACCTGTGGGAAGAGCATGCCAGGCAGAAAAAGCAGTTAAGTACAGAGGACTTGGTGTGTGAGTTTGCCTGATGTGTTCAAACAATAGCATGGAGAGCAGTACGCATAAAGTGGAAAGATGAAGATAGGAAGAATTAGGAGATGTGGGAGGCCAGATTGTGTATAAGGTCTTGCAGGCCATTGTAAGGGTTTCAGTTTTCACTCTGAGTGATACTGGAAACTGTTGCAGAGTTTTAAACAGTCAAGTGACATGATCTGACTTGTTTTAATGGGATTAATCTGTTGTGTTGAGAATAGGGACCTCACTATAGGAGGATCAATATAATATGGAAGAAGATATAGCAGACAGAAAGCTAGTTTAACAAGAAGTGAAGGATTAGAGAAGCTTAGACCAGAGTGAAAGCAGTGAAGGTGACAAATGAAGGGAGAATTCTAGAAACTTTTAGAGGCAGCAAGATTTGCTGTAAAAGTGAGTTAGAAGGGAAAGATAGAACTACTGAAGGCAAGAAATTGGGGGAACTACCAATTTGGGAGAGATTATAAGAGGAAAGTCTGCACCTCAGTTATTCAGTAGGGAGCTGGACATAAAAATTTGGACTTTGGGAGAACGCTCCCTGCTGACATATAAGTAAAAATGGTATTTAGAGCTTGCTGAGATCTCAAGGGAGTTAGAGAAGACAAAAGATCAGTGGTCCAAGAATTCCATACTAACACTTGAGTGTGCAGAGTGGGGAGGATGAGGAGACCAACAAAATAGAATGAGGGGGCCACAAATATTGTAAGTGTCGTATCTTGGAAGCCAAGTCAAGAAAGTATTTCAAGGAGGAGACAGAGATTAGCTGAGTTAAATGCTTCAAACTGAGCAAAGATGATGAGGTTTGAGCACCGACTGCCGTAATTAGCAACACAGATGTTATTAGGGATCTCAATAAAAACATTTTCAGTGGACTGGTGGGAAATAGAAGAGAATAGGAGATTCAAAAGGAATGAGAAGAGAGAACTGGAGAAGAGATAGCAAGTATAAGCAACATTTTTAACAAGTTTTACTATTAAAAAAGAGGAAAGACCCAGGTCAGTAGCTGAAGAGGTGGGTGAGATAAAGAGGGTATTTTTTTTTCTTAGATGAAAGAAATAATGTCATGTTTGAATACTGATGGAGTAAGAAAGGAGAGAGGGGGGGAAAAAAATGTCCAGGCAGTAGACAGAAGTAAGAAATGCTGGAATATTGTCTCTAAGTAGATGAGATGGGATAAAATACACAAATGGCAGGATTTATTTAGCTGGGATCTGGTTGCTTCTCCCAATGACAGGAAGGAAGGTAGAATAAATGGATAAAGACAAAGGAAAGGGTCGACTTGCATTCATGGAAAAATACTGATGTTGATTAATTTAGTTGATTTATTAATTCAAATTAGATCACACAATCACACACAAATTCTCATTTTCACATGAGAGTAAAATTTCTTTTCATTTGGAGGCTGTGCTTGGTTTACATTAGTGGCCCATTTAAAATGAAATCTCTTTTTTAAAAATAATCAAATGTAATTGAAAGTTCACAAGGAAAGAGAATCTATACTCTTTTCATTTGAACATTCTGAACTTTTATTAAACACAATGGCCTTTGATTTTGTTCCCTATTCAAAGTATCTCACAAACCTTTGATGTAGATTAAAATTATTTTTGAAGAGAAAATATATGGTTAAATATGGGTATATGAGAATAGGGTCCTTTGTGTGTTCAGTATCTTTTAAGCAAATCTTTAAGCTATAATTGTACTATTAAATTTGGCAAAATTTCTCCTCTTCAAAAATGTTTAGATCATTGCATATTTTTTATGCTTTATGTTATTTTTTCTTTAACTCATATCTTGTTCACTACATATTTGACCATAGGTCTCTGTTTCTCGCTTTTTCTTTTTTTTTGCATTTAACTTGCTTTTGACAAGTTTTAATTAAATGCATGTTTATTAGAAATTTTAACTTTTTTTCTCTCTTCTTCTTTAAGAAGTATTCATGAAACAAAAGTTTGCTTTAAAGAAAAGTGAATCTTAGATTGAAAGTGCTTGATATGTCATTAAGCACTAGACTACACAGATAGGAGGAGAAACATTATATATGTTAAACAATAAGATCAGCCTCATAATACACCAGATATCCATAAACTATTCTTTTATGGTGACAAAATATATTCTTAGTCCATGGGATTTTCTTTTATCTAGCTTAGTCTTTTGGTATTTTATATATTATTATTGAGTATTGGGGCAGAGCAGTGAGAATTTCTTCCTTAACTTAATCTGCCATCTTGAAAATAACTTCTTAGAGTATAAGTAAATACATGAATTTATTTTAGATATTGCAGGTTCGTGGATACTTTCTACACAATAAAAACAAGAGGAAAACAAATCAATGGAATTGAATACATTTATTCTTATCTTTCAGAAAACCATTTCTTTAAATGGCTAAATGTGTAACTTGATAATAGTTTTTATTATGTAAATATATTTTCATCATTAATTATTAAAATCATCAGATTTCCTCATGAGTTGGTTACATTATTACCTCACTCCTACAGAGGTTTAGTTAGACCAGAATCATTTAGTGATTCCAAAACATTCATTCAAGTAAAAGATTTCTTTATGCGTATACCCAGAAGTAGGGTAGGAATATCATAATTTGTAGGAAACTGATAGGTAACATGTTTATGAATAAGCAATCTGTTTTATTACTTTTTTCCTCCAAAGTTTTTAAATTTTCTTCATTGTTAGGATTGTTGAGGAAATAACTAGTGACAAGTAGTCCAATCTAATAAGTGACATCATGTTCATATGTACTATACCACATCTAAAGGTTTAAGAAAAGCCTTTAAAGTGTTCATCAACAGTTTACTAACTAACAGGAGATCTCTGAAGTATTCTGAAATTTGAATATCACAGTTGATACCACCCCATGACTACATTTTATATTTTTTTGTAGTAAAATTTGCTTTCTCTATGTCCTAATTTCCAGAATTTCTAGAGAGCAGTGGTTTTATAGACTTTATTATTTTCTACACTGTGACTGCATACTAAGCCCTAGGGTTTGTAGGTATTTCACTTTATTTCAGATTAAGATTATGATAGATAAACTAGGTGCTGTGTTCTCTGTTTATAACTTAGTTCCTGGATTACAAAGGAGGATAGGTCATTTCACTCTCTTCTAGTGGGTTCCTTGTGGCATTAAGACTCCTGGTTAGTCTGGATTTTTCCTACCTCCAGAATTGTTTCTGTTTTTTAATTCAGTGGAAACCTACTGGGTTATTATAGGTGTTATTAAACAATCTTCTCTACAGGAAACCTCTTTCTTTAGTTACCATTCAAGGTAACACCTGTTGTCCATTGCTGTGGAGAAACTTCAGGTTGAATTAGGTGCAGTGAATAACGGAATCTCACCAAAATATCCAGTGATAAAAGCATAATTGATATTGCATCTTAGTGACAAAACATTACTGAGCAACAGTTTATCCAAGTGGCCTTTCAATTGCCCCAACAATATCTGATCTACCCTAAGAAATAATTTAGGATTATGCAGATTTTTATATTGTTTCCTAATCATTTTATACTGTATTAAAAGTAGAATTATGTGAAAACAGTTTTTAAATGTATATGAATGTTCTAAGAATTTTAAAAATTATCATAAAGCATTTATTAGTCTTAATATAATTCAAAGTGTGTGTGAATATTTAGTGGAAAAAACTGGATTTATTTTATAGAAATAGGATTTGTATGTGAAGTATTTTGAAAACATGGTTAACTGGCTCCTACTTAGCCACCACGAGAGGAATTATTTTAATGTCTCATTAATTATGTTTTAACATTATTTAAAACCTACTTTAATGGATAGTCACTATTTTTAAATTATAATTATTTCTAATAGAAATAACAAATTTCTTACATTTAGAGAATAATTAAATCAACCTTACTAAAAGTACAAATAAGAAATATACTTATTCTAAATATTTCTGCTTTCTACACTTTGTACTAAAGGTCCACAACCACGAA